GCCTTTTCAAACAGTACTTCTATTTCTAATTTTTTTATTAATTCTTTTATTTATTTATATATATAGTATATATAGTATATATAATTTATATGTATACTTATATATATGTAAATAATATACATATTTATATATATTATATATATATACTTTAAATGCATATATTATTATATATGTATTTATTTATTTATTTTATATTTTTTATGTAATATACTTGTATGTTTATTATTTAAAGATTTATTTTTCATAAGAAATTTTTATTTCTATCTTATAAATGACTTAATAATAATAATAATAATAATAATAATAATAATAATAATAATAATAATAATAATAATAATAATAATAATAATAATAATAAGTTCTTTAAAATTTTTTTCTTAGAAATGTTATTAAATGAGATATTGATATAAAAATATAAATAATTTTTTTTATTATTATTATTTATATATATTATTAATTTTTATTTTTTATTTATTTTGTTTATTATATAATATATTAATTTCTAATTTTAATTATTTCCTTGTTTAAAATATTAAGTAATAGAATATTAAAATTCATATAAAATGCAAAAATTTTTTATATTTTTTATTATACTTTTTATACATAAATATAATAAATCAGTATATACATTTTGTAGGGAATCTAATTATAATGATTAATATCTTATGTACATATTTCTCTTCATATTTTTTTTAGTATATATTTTTAAATTTTTTAAACTGTTCAACAATGTGTAGATTGTCTGTATAATATCATATCTTATATCATATCTTAATCATTTTACAATTTTATTAAGTATTGTAAGTCATATAATTATATTTAAAAATTTTTAAATTTATATTTTTTTTTAAGATTTAACATCAAATATTTCTATTTTAGGGTTACATCAACATATACTACACCTACTTTAGGTGTACCAAATGCTGTTACAGCAAGTACATATCCTCAAATGCTTGGTTTAAGTGAACAAGTACAAGCCCTGATGCCATCACCTACTTCTGTATCTACATTGTTGCATCCACAAAGGCATACACCATCCGTACATAATACATCTCATACAAAATATCCACCACCATTAATACCAGTTAATGGTAGTAATAACAGTACCAGGTATAAAATTATTCATTTTATTTTTTAAAATATATTTTTAATAAAAATCGATTTAATGTAAAAAAGATAAATAAATAATATTTTATTATTATATTAAAGTATTTATTTTTAGGGATTCAAGAGGTAGAAAACCACTAATTCCAATATCAGAATCACATGTATCAACCTGTCAAGTTCAACCTTATCAAATTCAAAAAGCACTTGTAGAAGACAAAATGGTACCTTGTATTAATTTCAAACCATATATATATTCTGAATTATTGATGACACTTAATGACTTTGTCGCTCAGTATTTTCCTGCTTGTGACATTAATAGTTGCCGACAAGTCCTTACAGATGTTTTGCATATAGATTTGTATCAAGGAAATAGGTAAGAAAATGTTATTTTCTGCATATATTTATATAGAATCTTTTTAGCCTTAAAAAGAATATATTTTTTTTTTATTTATTCTATAATATATATATTATTATATAATATTTTAAATAATATAAATATTTTCTAAAATATTTCTTTTTAAAGGCTTCAAATGAAGATGTTAATGGAAGCAGGAAAATGTTCATCTTTAAATGAAGAACTACCACTAATACAAGTAAAAAATATAATGAAATATATGCCCCAATTGAAATATATGTTTAATAGAGGTGGTGAAATGGTGATGCCTGCACCTGCACATTCCTCCGAAGAACATCCTGCCAAAAAGCGTCAACGCACCAGCTAGGACTGGCTACAGCCTTACTGGCCTACTTATGATTATTATCATTCGGCATTTTGAAAAAGCCGATTACTTTGACTCATATGTAATAACTCAGCATTATTAAATGCTTGAGAAAATTGGATTAATCTGTTTTGACATCATGTGTCAGAAAGAATGCACATAACCGAAGATTACCTTTTATTACAAGGAATCTGTGACATACTGTGAGCTATTTCTTTCTCCAAAGTGTATCTATTGACAAGAATATGCTTGTAAATAAAACTGAGATGTATAAAACTAATGCACAGTTGGCAATTTAGATATGCTTTTATATATTAAGATTATTAACACTTTTCTTTAAGATTTCGTTTATAACTAGAAGTTGTTGAACGAAAAGCAAACAAAAACCATAAATACTGTAATTATCAAGATCATTCCTCTCTTTTTTTTCTTCATTTTACTTTTCTACCTCTGCTATAGAGTATACTATTGTCTTATATATACTATTTCTTTATAAATAAAATGGGTTTTAATCTTAATGTGATTCGGAGAAAGAAAGTGCTGCTGTGCGATAATTCATTAACAAAACCGAAATGCTACTATGGGTTGTTTAAAATTTACCTATAGAACATGATAAACGGATATCAAAATTTGGCATTTGTATTATATTTAAAGAGACGAAGGTAATGCTTCTTCAAGTTCCTAGCTATTACTAATATGTATCCTGATAATTGCTGAAAAATAATTTAAAACTGTTACTAATTCTCAACAATGGTTTAATATAAATTGTGACGTAAGTTCAGCAAAACTTACTAATGTAAAAATATTCTAAGTTTTGAATGTTGAAATCTCTATTTTCTAAAGTTCACTTGTCAAAAACACCGTAAACAGTGATGCAAGATTGAGATATTATCAGTGTGTAAATATCTAAGTCAATAAAAGAACTGCAATTTAGAATATTATTAAAAATATGACACGTATTAACAGTCAATGAAATACGTAATACCAGTGTTTATGAAGGCTTTATAATTGTTTCAAATGTGAGTACAATCATTCAAAAAATGTAATTGATTTTATTTTATTTTTAATAAAACCAACATTATTATTAGTAAAGTATTGTTAATTATATAGAAGATTATGTAAAAAAAAATATAAATTTAAATTAAACTATAAAAAGAAATTGTCTTATTTCTTTATACAAGCAGTTTTCATATTTATTATTTGTTAAAATATATTTCATAAAGTGAATATAAAATGTAACATAATTTAATTTATATAAAAAAGTGATATCAGCTTGCAAGTACTTAAAAAAAAAAACAAAAAAAAAATAGTTGGCAAAATTGACAAAGCACCTGAGATAGTCTTCCGTTTTAATCATAATATGAAAGAAAATAATTTATGTTTATTTGTAAATGATTTTTTATTTGTTTAAATAAATAAAAAGTAACACAATATGTAATTAAGAAAAATAAATTCATGTGTATTCATATGTTAAGCGTATAAGTACGCTAATCTTAATTGATCCTGTTCTTGAAAAAAGAGGCTTAAATTAGTATTACTGACTGATTAATTTTCATATTCGCTATTACTATTACATGAAATAGAAAAAACTAAATATATATACGCAAAAATTATGTATATGTAAAAAAATAATTCTAAGGATAAATTAATGTTGACCATCCATCATGGATTTTCCATATAAAAAAAAGGCTTAGGCATCCTGTTACGGTGGAAATGGTATATTTTGTTATTTATTAATTATATTTAGTCATATCACAATTTCAAAGATTCTATTGCCATTAAAAAGACTATGTACCATAGACTGGTGTCTACTTTTTTCTAATATTAATGAAATAAAGAAAATAACACAAGAAATTCATACATAAAAAGTATTTAATGAAAAAAATCTGTACAATAATAAATGTGAAGTAATAATACTATATTTATTATTTAGATTTTATAATTTGTCAGATGTTCATTTTTATATTTTCATAAAGAAATTTAGAAAAAAAAAATATAAACATTTATATCATTTAAATTTTAATTTCAAGCACATGTGTATATAAGATATTGTAGATATTGTATTTAATATATTAAATAAAATGTCAATAATATTAATTGTATTATTTTATTTTTTGTGTTATATTACACATGTGTTTTTGTAAATTATAGTATTATAATTTTTATGTTTGTACAGATAATTGCAATTAAAAAATAAATAAAGCACTAATAAAAAAGTGTATTATATTACAGATTACATAAATACAAATTGATTAATAAAAAAATACTTAAATTGGAAGAATTTCTTGAATTATTTCAATGAAGATTTTAATATATGTAGATTATTAATTACACAGTACTCCAAAAAAAAAAATGTATAAAATATATCATCTATTACATTCTGAAATAAAAAAAAATGTACAGAAATTAGTGGACCCAGTCTAAAAATTAGAATTTAATTTTTAGTATATTAGATTAGAGCATTTATTTGATAACATGTTAATATACGTGTATAATATTTTATCACACTATCATCTGTACATATAAATCATAAGAATTAGATATACTAGACATTTCAAATAAATTCATGATATAATTAATAAGTGTTAATTATTTTACATTAAATAAATTAATTTGATTGAAAAGAAAATATGCTACTATTTAAAATATATCGATATTATAATATAATAGATTTATTCATACAAACAATAAAAAAGCATATAAATCAAACTATCTATTTTAAGTTTCTAGATCTAAATGTTAATTAGCGTGCGATGTGTTCTTAATTGTTTTTTAGTCCAAATTACAGTATTAATTTTAAAACTTACAATATAATATTACGCTCAAGTGTTAAATGCTATTAAATTTTAAATATAAAAAGAAATTAATAAGTATTTTCTGTTTTTACAGTCTTTATATTATTTCAAACTTAAAATGTTGTAATTTAAGAGATAATGTAATATCAGATATATTCGAAAATAAAAAAAAGTTGGTTTATTAAGTTTGAAATTTTTAATATTAAGAAAAACAATTTTTTAATTATGGAATTTTCTTTTAAATGCCGCAACACGTTAAATGACACAGCTGTACCGGAAGAACGTCATAAGCATTTGAAAGATTCAGTGCTGACATCTATGACGAAAGCAAACGAAATTACACGAGATTGGCCGAAGTAGTCAGTTGCGGTCGCCATTTTGTCGGGTAGTCATCGGGTACGTCGTGTTTCTTTCGGGTTGCTGTACTTTTTGAAACAAGCATCGCCGAAAAATTTGGGGTCCAGCACTTTCGTTTGCTCCCCCAAATGGCTTGTTTGAATACCCTTAAACAGGAGATTAAAACTCTTGAGTCCGTCTTCCCTAAGAGCCATGAGAGATTTCAGATAATGTCTGCGAGTGTGGACGAACTCAGCTGCAGATTCGTCGGTAAAAATGGGAAGAAATACGAAATACACGCCAATATTACAGTAAGTGTAATAAGCATGAATACAATTTAAAATAGTAAATTGATACAGAACTATCGACAGTATTTTTCTGTTTATATGGAACCATATTAAATTTCATTGCTGTCTGCGACCGGACAAAGAAACAATAACACTCATGTTGTTATTTGGGGCTTTTGACAAGAGCCATGCCCGGGAGCACGTATACCGTGTCCTTTTTATCCCTATTTCCTATCTATTTTTTCTTGTTGCCCTGTACATTTTGTTGTAGTTACGATCGATTCTTTCTCGCCTCAATCAGTCAGTTTCCGTGGAGATTTTCAGACGAATTAATATTGCGGTAGAGGTCAATGTATGTCACAAATAGAGGGTAAGCCCCTCATAATGGTATCTGTTCTTTATTCGTTTATATTTGCAAAAAAAAATCTTACAAATTTACAATTACTATTGTTGAGACAATTATATCACAATTGCATGAAATCAAACTACTTACTAATTTAATGTATACTAGATAATATTTATAGATAAATTAGATAACAATGAGCATATCCATTTGCGTTCTTCTTACCGTTGCCATTGTCGCTTGCTTCATTACGAAATTATCTTCAATTTTTTATTAAATATCTTGAAATTTTAATAATTAAATGCTAAAAATAAATAAGAATTAAATGCTAAAAATAAATAATTGTTTATTTTATATTGCATAGTATTGTTTAGAATTGAATTCATTAATTTATATTGAATAATTTCAGAAAATTCAAACTAAAAGTTTATTAAATTGTGTATCCAATAAGTTATCAAGCGTAATCACGTGTATTTAAAATATTTGCGTTCTATGTTTCTTTTATTAGAAATATTATTATGAAGATTTTAACTTCAAAAAAAAAATAAGTTGAAATTATTATAATAATGTTTCTCTTAATAGAAATTAATTGTACTATTTTAATTATGTTTTAGGTTTGATAAAAGATATTTAAATTTATTTTTCTTTTTATGTCAAGACAGAAGTTAAACATAAAAATTTAATTCAAAAATATTAATATGAAAAATGTTATTATTTCTATCTTATTTATTTATTGATTAAAAAATTAATAATTTTTATCTATTTTTATATATAATAACGCAAATACGGTTTAATACTGCTAATTAATTTACGATTCCTGTTATACATATGTATGGTCGTAGCACTGACGCTGAGCTAACTGCAATTGCCGATAAATCCATATTTAAATATCGTATATGTGTTCATGATAAATATTCGCTATATAATGATCATTTAATGCAATTTTTATTATTCGAATTATTATAGAATATATCCATTTAATTTTAAAATAACTATTTTATAATTTAAGAATTTTCGTATATTTTTTTGAACTCAAAAAATTTTTTCTTTTTTAATTTCTTAAATTTTTATTGTTATTTTTCTATTATATAGGTTATATATTATACATTGGATAAAGTAAACTTCCAATTTTTATTAATAATTCTTATTTTTTTAAATTATCGTAGATATATTTTTTTTCTATTTATATTTAAAAATAGATAATTATCTTTTTTATCATTTAATTTTATATGTGAAATCTTCATTATATTTATAGATTTATATTTACATAAAATTTTATTCATTAAGCTATTATTGTTTAAAATAATAAATGAATTTTAATTTTTTATTACACAAATAAAGGTTTTCTATAATTGTTTTTGGAAATTTTTCTCTATTTATTTTTTTTATTTTTTTACCATTTTAAAATAGAGTTTAAAAAATTTTTTTAAGAATTTAAATTTCAAAATGTTGAAGTAATAAACAGTTATTTATATTATTATATATTATATATAATTAAATAATTATTATATATTATATATAAAAATTAACCTAAAAATAAAAAATAATTATTAAAATTATTCTTATTTTATTTTATAAACTGATTATATGATTTTTGATGAATGTTGCAGGAAACCTATCCTTCTACACCACCAGTATGGTTTGCAGAATCAGAAGAAACAAGTGTTACAAATGCGGTACAAATTTTAAGTACTACTACAGGCCGTGACAACCATGTTATTAACCAAGTTGGGATTCTCTTGAAAGAATTATGTAGACTCCATTCATTACCTGAACCACCTGATGTTGAACGGTTAAGGACAGCTTTGGATCCATTACGTTTAGGAGGATCAAATGAAGCTACAGCACAAAGAATGGAAGCTGAAGATGCTGAAGATATTGAAGATGATGAAGAAAGTGATGCAGAAGAAGATCTTCATTTAGATATGGATGAAGGAGATGCCAATGCAAAGAGTAAGGTAAATAACAATATTTGAATACAAAAATTATTTCTATATGTGGATTATATTTATGTTTAATTATTTATCCTATATTTTTAAGGGTGAAGAAATAGAATTGGAACATCTTGCAACATTAGAAAGGTTGAGACAAAATCAAAGACAAGATTACTTAAAAGGATCTGTTTGTGGCAGTGTGCAAGCCACAGATAGACTTATGAAAGAATTGCGTGATATTTACCGAAGTGACAGTTTCAAAAAAGGTATGCTATCTTTAATTTGTAATTTTATTAAGATGTTCTAATGATATACTAATGATATACTTATAAAAATATTTAAATTTATTAATATATTTAAATATTAAATTTATAGGAATGTACAGCATAGAATTAGTAAATGACAGTTTGTATGAATGGAATGTCAGGCTGATGTGTGTTGATCCTGATTCACCTTTACACAGCGATCTCATACTTCTAAAAGAAAAGGAAGGCAAAGACAGTATTCTTCTTAACATGCTTTTTAAGGTATGTTCTTAATTCATAATTCATATTTTTATATAAATAAAAATTATTGATTCTAGTTGTATTTTAGATAATTAATATATTATCACTTTTAAGAATTTGTTTTATATTTTGAATATATTTTAATTATATATGATATCAATATAGACTGGTAAATATTTTGAAAATTTTATTCATAATTTTAATTCATATGACATCAATATTCTTTTATGTATTAATTTTTTTAGATTGAAAAGAAAATTTTCTTTATTTTTATTTTTGATTGCAGGAAACTTATCCATTCGAACCTCCCTTTGTTAGAGTTGTGCATCCCATGATCTCTGGTGGTTACGTCCTTATAGGAGGCGCTATTTGCATGGAACTTCTAACAAAACAAGGTTGGAGTTCAGCCTACACAGTAGAAGCAGTCATCATGCAAATTTCCGCAACCTTAGTGAAGGGAAAAGCACGCATACAATTTCAAGGACCGGGTAGTGCTAGCAAAGTGTGTGGGCAAGGTCAATATAGTCTAGCACGTGCACAACAGTCATTCAAGTCTCTTGTACAAATACACGAAAAAAATGGTAAGAAATTAATTTTATTTCTTATTTTATTAAGTTAAGATTTTATGTATATAAAAAAAATGTTCGACGGAAAAGAAATGAATATTTTTAATGACTCTGTGTTATTTAAATAATGAATATATATTGAAATATATAAAACGTTAATGTATTTATGAAATCACTAAATAGTCTAATAATAAACATAAAAGTTACAAAAATATATGTTGAAGCTTTATTAAGTTATAATAATTTAAATTTGTATTAGATGAAATGAAGATAGGAACAAAATGAGACAACTCTATCTATTTTATTTCATTTGCTATTTATTACGGTCTCGGTTTATCTTGCTTATTTTGTTTCAATTTTATTTCATCTAATGCAAATTTAAATTATTTAGCCTAATAAATAAGTCTCAAGCAACATTGTTGTATAATATAACTTTTATGTTTATTTTGATCTCTAGAATCGATCCTTCAGAATTAGGGTATCTCACAAGTATATTAATATCTTACATTTTTTATTGTTTATTTTTTTTTTGTAATGATTAAAATAATTTGATGAAAAAATTTTTCTTTTAAAATTACGTTTATATTTATATATTATATATTATTTACTTTTTATTTTTTACAATCTTATATAAATTTGTTGAATAAAAAAGTTTTTGTATTAAGTGTATTTTTAGTTTTTAACATAACATATTTTTATTTCTTTCTATAAAGAATTCAATTTACAGAATTATATTGAATATATTGTTTTTAGAAGGTTACAGATAGTATTACATATTTAAATATTCTTATAGGTTGGTTTACCCCTCCAAAAGAGGATGGCTAATGAACATGAATCACGGAGAAAGAAAAGTTTGTCGCGTGCTTACAGCTGAGACTTTAATTCGGTGTGTGCCCAACAAATAATTGTTACGATAATGATTTGATACACAAAACACAACATTAACTAGGTAACTTAAGATACTGAATTAATCTAACGCGTAATTCCTTTGATGGCTGAAAAGGCTGCCGCGCAAACAGTGAAGTGTTTGATTCTGTATGCATAGATTTTTCAGTAATTAGTGATTAGATCGCCAATCGCATTTGTGAGATATAATCATTTTTATCTGGAATTGATTCTTATGTTCGGAATTACTAAGAATCTTAATTATTCCAAATAATATTAATCTTAGTTCTTTTTTGTGAGTACACATGTTGTACGTACGTACGAAACAGTGTAAACATTCTGTGAAATGCGTTTGCGCAATCCGTGCTTCCTTCCTTTCAATAGAAGGAACAGGATGGTTAGCAACTTAGATAGTTATATTGACAATTTTTCTAAGTGTTTTTTTTTTTATCATTGTGAGCTTTCCTTTGTTCCATTCTATCTAATTGTATTTTAATTCTTTTATTCATTGTGCAATTCATAAGTAAGTTGTTTGGATATATTTGTTAAAAGTAAACAGTAAACGAATCTAATGTAAGAATAGCGATGTTTCTGGGGGTAAAGCGAGTTTTGCTGTTACCTTTTGTATTTATTCGATATTTCATTTATTAATAAATATGATTCAATATGAACGAGCACACAACTAAATCATCACATTTTGAAATATAATCTGAAATAAAACACAATTTGGAGAATATTAATGTCACATATATTACTTTAAAAGATATACTATTAGTTATAATTTTTTCTTTAAAATTCCATGTATTACAAAAACTAACAATTCATTAATGATTTAATTTTTCAGAATTATAAGATCGTAAATTTTTTTTGTATTGAAGAAAATATATAATATATTTTTTTCTTATTAGATATTAAAACGATAGATGTACATATTTCAATACTTTTCGTTGCTCTATATATTTCTTAATTATTCATATTTAATTTTTAATTAAACATTATTAATTTCATTCGAAAAGAAGATTTTTACAATTTATTTTAATTTTCAATCATTCTTATAAATAAAGAAACATAGCAATACTAGTTAATATATATTTCCTTAATATAACTAACTAAAATAAGAATTGTATAGATGTATATACACATTTCATATATCGATTCTTTTTTTGAAAATAATACTCTTTAAACATTTTTCTTTTTTTTCTTAAATTGGAGAATACAAATGCACAAAATAATAAAGAATTATAGATATAAGATTTGGTTGTGTGTCTCGTTTAATGTCTCACTTTTGTTATATCATTTACAAAGCGGTTGATGTGCTTGAGATTGATATGAAAGTTTGGTCTGTATGTTGGGCGTACGCTCAAGCGAACTTTTAGTGGTATTCTATATACATATATATATATATACATAAATATATATCGTGACATTTATTTGCAATCGAAGCTCTATTTGCATGACGTATTGAACGTAAAATTGCGCGAACGTGAAATCGTTAAAATTTCTTTGTGCCACAGTAGAGTTTACACTGGCCAGTTAAAGGAAATGACGAGACGTAACAAGCGAACACGCGTACATTAAAGGCACCATTAGGATCGCGAAAACGAATTACCGCTTTTTAAGAAAAAAAAATTATATACACATGTATTATTGTGCACATGTATTTGAAATTTATGAGACTATGCTATCCTCGTGCGTCTTTCTTCGTGAAAACATTTTCTTCTAACTGAACAAGTATCGTTCCCTTGTCTATAAAAGAAACAGACAATTATGGACTTCCGGTTCTTTTTCACAATGACTTCATCCCTAGTTATGATAGTAGTCATAAATTATCGTCGCTGTATGGCAAAATCGATGGCCAAATTATTGCGTATATGTTTATTAACAAGCGAATTTCTACATTTTTAAAATGATTACTTTCATATCCTCGAGATATCTTAATTCCACTCCCAGAACGTCTATGCAACATGTTTCGTACATACATACATACATACATACATACAGACATACATACATATATACATAGGTACATCATACATACATATATACATACATACGTACACACATATATATACACACATATATACACGCATACATACGTACACGCATACATACGTACACGCATACATACGTATACACATACATACGCAAACACAATTACATTCAAATACGTGCACATATAAAACATTTCATATTATGTAAACACACACTGATATGTATGCATATTATGCATTCATAACACATGCTCCCCGATTCGTGTATATAAATATACATATTCCGTTCCTTGTGTTTCATCTTCGTACGTTGTATATATATAAATTTTTATCAATCAGTCGGCAAAACACATTTGAACGGCGAAACACTCGTTCGATCACTGCGCTGTTGTGTCTCGGAAAACTTAGAAAAGTTGGAAAAGTCGAAGAATTTGAATCATATATGAATTTCAATGAAGAATATACTTTAGCTCATCGTATATTTAATATTACAAGTAATTTCTTGACTTGACACACCGAATGGGAAATATGTATCTCAGTATATCTCTGTGAGGTTGTTCAGGAAACAACAGTACGAAGATGAAGCGGTACATATGTTATTGGCAATAACGCATGTACGATGCATCCGTAAATATAATTATTATTGGAATAATCGAGCGGAGTAGCATGGGTCAATAGTTTCTTTTTTCGTGGTGTAATTAAAGGAAAAAGAAAAAAAAGAAAAATTGTTTGTGAAATTCGTGCGAGCAGTTTCGTAATAAAATCTAGATTCTTAAGTATAGGTGTACAATCAATGAACTCATTGTCAGTGGATATCAATGATTTGTACAGCCGCGCCTGACTGACATTGAGTGATGGTTGTTTTGACGACGTTAACCGTTATGTTCTTTGTCGAAAAAAACATAAAAAAAGAAAAATAATTTCATTTCTCTCGCGTTTGTTAAGTTTTCTTTCCTTTTAAGAATTTGCGAAGCGTATATTGTAAGCAGCCACGTGGCCTGTATATTTTTGCTACAAATATCGTTAGTAGTACCGTTTTTAAAAATTAAACGTTCTTACGTTTTTCCTTATTATTATTACAACAACGATTATTATTATCTCTTCTTTTTAATTCATTCGACGTTCTAAAAAATTTAAAAAGAAGAAAAAAAAAGTGCTAATGAAATATTGACATAATAAGATCAATCGAAAGCGGATTATATTTAATAGTTTATATCAAATCGATGCTAATTTTTTAATAGCTGTTAAATAAAACGAAGACCTTCATAGATGCAAAAGTAATGGGAATTTTTGTAAAAAAAAAAAAGCATTGGTATAGAACAAATATTTTTTATCCAATTAATATTAATATTAAATAAAATATATGCATATTCAATAAAACTGTTCTACGAATTTTCAAATCAAAGTTTTAATTCCTTTATTTTATGTTTTGTAAAAATATTCGATCGAAACGATATTAATTTACAAAATCATAAAATATGGATGATAATTAATATATAAGAACTTTATAAAAGATAAAAAAAAATATATATATTTTTTTGAGTTTGGATTTTTGTTATTTGACAAAATTCTCCTCACTCTTGCATCGATATTATAATATGATTTTCAAAAAGAAAATATATTGTTTTTCTTTGATCGAAGATGAATGTCCTTTTGATAAATACTTATGCAAAAGAAAAAAAAAAAAACGAGTATTTAAAAGTTTAAACGAAGATGTAAAAAAAAAAATTCAATGTTTATTGAATCAATTAAAATAAGAAATTTTCTTTTTAGGTAACGAGTGTAACTTTTGTATTTGCGATATGCTTAAAGGATTTTTAACTTTTCATAATGATTTTATAATGAACTCTCGATTCGAAGACTGCTTAAAATTCTTTTTGCGTTCCTTCTTCCATTCTCAAGAATTATTGTTGTTAATATGATATTTTATTTTATATTATCCAATCGATATTAACGAGTAATGCAACACAAATGATCGGCCTGTATCGTGTTAAATATATTTTTTTCACTTAATTTAAAATAAAACATTAAGCGGTATTCCTGATTAAAAAATAATAGGATTTACGAACGTAAATATACCTAATTTTCAAATGTATTTGTGGCAAAAATAGTAGAATTTCTTATTAGATTTTCTTAAGTTCTCCTTTGCTTTCGAACAATTCCAATGCCGCTCTGAACGTGGTATCCTTTACTCTTCTATATTTTTTTTCTTTTTCTCATTTATGGAATATTTTCTAATGAAAGAAACAAATGATCTTACAAACAGAATATTGCACGAGATTGTACAATGTATACAATCTCTTTATATGGGATGTATAATCAAATGAGTATTAAACAGTTATTGTTGCTATAAATTATGCATTTAAATTACACGAACGAATCGTTCATATCATGCGACTAATCGCCACGGTTTATAATGATTATTATAATTTTGTTGTAACTATTATTTTTGATTATTATTCAATCACTGGTTACGAGTATATAAATCTTCTGTACCGTTTATTACATATATATAACGTCACTTAATTCACGAGTATTGTAATACTTTTTGACAAAGGCTTTAACGAGAAAGAGCGTTGTTCGTATCGAGAACGGCATCGAGAATGATGATTTTCTTCTCTTCTTTTTATTTTTATTAATTTTCTTTAAAATTCCAATGCCTTTAATGAATATTGGTCGATGACTTTCCATGTGAACGACGTTCTTTGGATATAAAAACTTATAAATACGACTTTACCCCTGTCCACTGTATCTGCCTCTGTATCTTTATCCAATTAATGAACCAAACACCGGTCGAATCGGTTGATCGATTGGTTTGCTTCATTCGGTCGTTAATCTATAATCTTAAGATGATTTCACGTGTCTTAAAAGGAACGAGAAACAAAGTACACCGCCACATATGTACGTACTATTTTGCCGATTTAAGTGAACGATATTTCGATATTTCTAGTATATTTTTCTCTTTTCCTTCTATCTCTGTCCTTTTCTCCTTGATACACCGCGAATTTTTCATTAAGTTACGTTCAATTATCATTTAGGAGAATGCTACGAAACAGAAAATAAAGAATTTTAATAAAAAAAGAAGAAAAGAAAAGGAATGATTCCGATGCGAGTTACTTTTCTTTATTTCCTATTTCAAATTATTTATTTTCTTTTCTCTTTGCGATCTAAATTTTCTTCTATTAGACGGAAAAAATATTTTTTTTATTGTACATATTCTTTAATCTCAATTTCCATAATTATTTTGATAATTGTTAATAATTGCAAATGGGATACCGCAATTGGATTCAAATATTTTTGAATGGAAAAATTAAAAAATTAAAAAGAAGATTAAAAAAATTCATTAGAAAAATTTATAAATTTAAAATTTATAATGATCTTGTTAAAGATAGCTTTGTCTTTCTCATACTTGCTCCGTTTTCATTTTTCTTCATCTAATGCAAATTTAAAGTGCTTAATAACTTAATATATAAGCTTTAATTAACACTTTTATATATCAATTTTTGTGTTTTGACTTTTAGAAATGATCATATATATGATTAATATGTAATTAATATTGTTATTCTCCGCGTATTTGAAAAATGTTAATCTTTTTAAATAAGTTATTGTTAGAACTAAATATTAGAAAGAAGTCAAAAAATTTTTTATTTATTTCCTTTCATTCCAAGTAGGATACGTATGTGTATCTTGTAAAGTTTGAAAAAATGAGTTTTTCACGAGTGGCAATGATATGCATACATACATAGTCGGTTCAAAGTTTAATGTTAGAACTTTCCATCTTCACGATGGGTGAATAGAATTCAAATTTCGGAAATCACATCAAAACATCCCCTATTTCTACTTTCTTCGAGTTTCTTTTGGAAGTGGATTGGAACTGTATTGAAATTATGATCGATGAAACTTTAGGAATTTAGAACATATTTTTTATTATTTGAAAGAGTCTTTGAAATAAAACGTTTTTCGAATAATAAAAGTTTGTTTTATATATATATT